ATCATTTAAAGCTATCCCACACACATGCTACTTGGTCACTGGAAAATATTTCCAAGCAGGAACTTAGCCATGTGAACGAAATTGGGAAGCAAGTTAATATGCTGTGAGGCCATAGGATCAAACAGACTTACCTAGATTACTAAGACAATATAGTCCAAGCAGCCAAGTTGCATTAGGAAGGCATTTAAAAATCAATGCCTGTCTGTGCAACCTTCACAGAGGTTGGACTTTGATTACTGAGGTGAGAGATTTAAAAGTGTAGATCAGGTAAAATAAAATGGGCTGGCTTTTTCTGATGGTTCCACCTAATTAGTGTCTGTCATCTCTTAGTCTTGCCTGCTTCCCAGGCTCGTGAAGTGGAGTGAGGTACAGACATTACCTTGCCCGTGTTGTTAATTATAATACAATATTCCTTGGAAAAATCTTATGTCAGGAGCACCGTGTCTGAGCAGTAGCTTTGCTTGGAGGGTAGATACTGTGGGGCTGGTGACTCCATGCTGCATGCAGCCTTTAACTGTGCACTGAAAAGAGGGAGATATTGGAAAAGCCAGACGATGAAGAAGAAAAGGCACAGCAGAGGTTGTGGAAGAGAGTCCCGCAGAGTGCCCTGTGCCAGCTGGCTGCCTGCAGTAGTTACTGTGACAAGCCTTGCACCTGTCCTTAGGTTGGGTATCTGGTGTCTGTGTGGTGATGCAACAGCTTCACTAGGACCCCAAATGAGATGCCAGCAAGCTGAGGACATAAGGGCTCGAGTTCCCCTGCTAATTCTCTGCTGTCCAGAGAGGCTCCCAAACTACTTTTGATGTCCTCAGGCCGGAGAGGGAAGCAGGAAGGTACCCGTGCGGTTCCGCTGCAGGTGTTCGGTGCCTGCAGCGCTCCCATGGTGTGTGCTCATGTATCAGCACTGCATTTCATGTGTCCCCAAGGTTATGAACTTCCAAGAAAAGTCTGGCATGCACGTGTGCATGTGTCTGGGCACGTGCGTGCAGGGGGAGAGAGGGAGGGAACTAGCAAGAAATCTTTGTAGTCAGGGCCCTTGTTTGTTTTTCTCCTGCTGTTACTCTCATGTCAGGTCATTAACCAGCAAGCATTGGAAATAGAGCTCCGCTCAAGTAGCTCGGGGTGATCATCTGCCATGGAGCGCATTTGGCATTCCCGCTTGAATGAATGCAGCTTTGTCTTTAGGTATCTGAGTTCTTCTGCTGACCCCATAGACTTATTCTCACCAAAACAGCATCTTCCCAGCTTGACACAGCTGTTGCTGGAGATGAAGTGAAGAAGCGTGCATGCGTGTGTGCATGCCTGCATGTGTGTATGTGTATGTAATACTGCTCATACTTCAATGGTACCTTTCATCAAAGCAGTTTACAGACTATTAAGGAATTACACCTGTCTCTGTCCCTTAGATTCTGTTATTCCTAACTTATAGTTAGCACAGCCGAGGCGTGGAGCAAACTCACCCAAAACTGACCAGCAAGTCAAGAGCCAGGAATAGAAGTTAGGAGGCCTGCCTGTCAGGCTGGTGCTCTAACCACTGCTGAAACGCCATCACCTCTGGGCTCTGATTGCTGTTTCAGAGTGCACAGCAATGCTGCAATCAGGATAAGGACCAGATAAATACCACATCCAATCAAAACTGCAGGCGAACTCAAGGGGGCTGAATGTCATTACCCTAACTGGTATCTGGACAGGACGTTGCGAGTAAAGCTGGAGCTGAGCGCTAATGGGATTTTCTGCTGTGCAAAAAGATTTGGGAAACTTTCTCATGATGTAGCAAAACGGGGAAAAAAGCAGCTTGGCAGGTGTTTCTGGTGTGGCTGCCTGGTTCTCCAGCTGCTCAGCAGACAGCCAGGGGGATGGACAGACCACCTGCCTGCCCTCCAGAAAGGCAACCTGAGAAGCCAGTCATCTGCACCAACCCTGATGCTGACCAGGGGGTGAACTGGTTGCGTGAGGGGGCCTGTACAGCCCTGAGTCCCAGAAGGATCTAGTTCTTCATGCATTTGCTAGGTGAGTAAGGGCACCTGGGGACCCCTCAGAGACTGCAAAGAAAAATGTCTGTAAAAGCTGATCTGAGCATTAGCTGTGTCAGGGGGCTGCTGTACGCCAAGCAGATGCCCTTAGAGGCTAAGAGACAGGGGCTTGCTAGACAGCAGGCGCATCTACACCAGACACTGTACTACACAGTAGAGCTAATTACTGCATAGTAAGCATCACTGTTTACATGTGGTGATCCTTACTGCACAGTAATTTCCTCTACTCTGCAGTAAAACTGCTACCAGGTGCCCAGCTGGGATCTCACTGCTAGCTGCCTCACCGGTGGGTTGGGGCAGGGGGCTGAGACCTGCCCCTCCGCTGTAGCTCTTTCCAAGCCGCTTGCCTCCGATCAGGGAGCCGGGGTCCAGAGCTCCCTGCTGCCAGGGTAGAGGGACATTGTCCACCCCCAGGCTTCATCACCAGAGCCTGCTCCAGCAGCAGGCAGCTCCCAGGGACAGGGAACAATCTCCTGCCAGCAGACAGCTGTCACCCCCTGGCCTAGCACCTGGGGGGAGCCTGGTTGCTGCAGGGGGGCAGGAGCAGACTGCTGCCAGGCGCAGCATATCTGCTCCCAAATCCTTGCATGTGTGGATGCCTGCCTGGGGTGGGTTTGCTCTAGAATAATTTACTCTAGAGTAAAGCCAGCCTACAGCATTTGCATGTGTAGACATGCCCAGCAAATGCATCTGGACTTCAGTTTTACATCTTATCCAGCAGCGCAGGCCCCTGAAACTCCTGGCTGGGCCTTGGCTTCATTCCTGGGGGCCTGGCACCTTGGCAGAGCACATTGCCAAGGAGGTTTGAAACCTGCCTCCTTCCTGCCAGAATCTTATCTAAATCGGCACGTTCCTGTGGAACCGTTTGACTCTGACAATTATTTCAACAGAAAATGCACTCTGACAATTTCCAGCCAGGCTGTTGGCCTGGCATGATCAAAGGGAAGGAGCTATGGTTTAACCAAGGGGGGTAAGAAGTTGCTTAGTTGTAAAACACTAGCACTGTCCAGGAATACCCCATAAGTATTATTTGGTCCCATTCACACTGCAAAGTTGCCCTGGCTTTAGCTCATGGGAAGACTATACGATAAGCCGATATCCCCAGCACAGTGCTGTTTACAGCAGTAGCAGGACCGTACAAAGGGTCATGGGATCGCCAGTGATAGCACACATATCTGGACTTCAGCTTTTATGTTTAATCTATTAGCACAGGGCCTTTAACCCCTAGCTGGGGCTTGGATTCAGTAGTGGCCCAGGGGAGAGGCACAGTCAGCCCTGTCGCTTGTGACCCTTAAAGATGATCTGGATTTAAAAAATATGCTGTAGTATGTAGGGACCAACACTGGCCCAACCATAGGGCCTGGACCAGATGGGAGAATAGGCCTTTTCCAATTCCTAGTGTCTCCATGTGTAGCCTAGAGATTGTGGGCAACCACTTATTCAGGCAGCAGTGTTTCCCTCGGCCCTTAATCCAGTCCCTGTCTGTCTTACCATGAGTGCAAGGGAAAGCAAATGCTGGCTGGATGGCTCCTTCAAGGGAGAAGCATTTGTAAAGAGGCATGGATTGCACACTAATCTAGACGGCTCCCGCACCCTGCAGTGCACCCCATTAAAACAGATGCTTAGTAAATGCCAATAAGCTCTGGAATGAAGCGGCTCTGCCATTCCCCGGATGCACCAAGGAATGAAATAGGACATTGATTCTCCAAACTGTCGAAGGCATGAAGAAGCTGTTATGGGAGGAATTGTTTTAGCCTGGGAATACATGGCCTCTTTGGGAGGTAGGAGGCTGTATAACATGGCACGTTGCAAAGCAGCATTTCCCAACGGAGATGTTCCCAGGGTTTAAATGGGGTGGGCAAACTTCCAGCTCCCTCAAACATTTGCTCCAGGCTCAGAATGCTTTTCTGGACATCCACAAAAGTCCAGTTTTTTCTTCTCCATTTCTTCCTCTTCTGGGGCCAAGGTATCCACTCTCTGTGTATGATTGTAGAAGCTCAGGCTGTGTCTAAATTGCCCCTGGAGTGAGCCCAGAAGCACTGCTGAGCACTAAGTCCCATCCACTTCCAAGAACTGGGCAGTGTAGAGGGCTTGGGCATAGTGCCCTGAACCACCTGTTCACAGAGCAGGTGTCTGAAGGACTTATTTCTGGGCTGTGCCCCTGGGTTTGTTTCAAAGGCAGTGTAGACCCACCCCCAGAAAAAAACTCATGAAAAATAAGTCTCACAAAGCTCAACATTACTGGGGGGAAATTTTTTTCTTTTTTTCTCGCATGGGGTTGGTACTTTTGGTGATCATCCTCGTCTCTTGGCATGGGAAACAGTATGCCAGAGATAAAAGAATGAGCACTGGGTTTTCCAGTAGAGGTGGGCACTGAATTATAGCCCATCAGTTGGAGTTGTGTGCTTGATTCCTGGGTGCCCCTTTGAAAGTACTGGCCCCAAGCAGGAATGAGCTCCACTGCCAGCTCTCTGCAGATGGGACACTTGTGCTAGTGTTTTTTAATGTAACCATCTTCATGATGGTCCTGATGCAGAGGGTGGTTTGGCAGGCCATACAGGTAGCCCTGGTTTCTGAACTTGGTCAGCGCAGAACAGCCTGTAGTGGTCTGGGCTGAACAAGCCCAAGGACGAGGGAAGTATAAAGATGTTTAAAGCCACCTTTGCTCCCCACCCCTGCCTGGGTAAGAGGATCAGACCTGTTACTAGAAGTCTGAGGCCACTCTGAAATGGTTAATGAAAATAGCTTTTATCAGACTTTTTGGACTTCATACAAGGAGGTCAGTCTTCACTAGTGGCTTGGGCACAGCAGGGCAACACTAATCAAGGGCATGAGAGACCCCCGGCCAGATGCCAGGACACTGCTGTTTTGGACGGGGCGTAATGCAACTGTTGTAGCGGCTGCCGAATCGGAATCTCCCCAGGCCGGGGTCTCTTGACTATTGAACAATGCTCTGGCAAGAGGAGCTGGGTTTATAAATAATGCATTTCCTTTGTCTTGCAGGAATTCTGGAGGCAGAGGTACAATCAGATCAGCTGTGAACAGCTTACATAGCAAATCTAATAGGTTTGTAAATTAGATTTTGTGTTCATTTGTTTTTGCTGTAAGGCAGCTATTAATCTGCTTCTCTTCTTTGCTGGCTAGTGCCCTTATTTAGCAAATGTATCTGTTTCTTTTCACTTCTGCTTTGCATTTTTTTAATCGTTTCCCCTTCTATCTTGGTGCAATAATCATTTGCAAATAACCATGGATCTGCAAGTTGTGGTGATTAAGAGAATGAGAAGAAGAGTTACTTATTGTGAAAGATAAGTCCACTGAGTTGCCACTTTTGCAGTTTGCCACTGTGGTGTTTAAAAAGAAAAAGATGTCTTTCTGTGAGTTCAGACTCTCGTTGTCTTTCATCATAATGTCATTCATAATGTTGTTCTGTGGCCTCACTGTCTCATTCGATGACATTGTGACATTTCCAAGCACATTCCAGGCAATCATAACAACACCATCGTATACACACAATTGCACAGTTGTACTTAGTGACATCATTTGGTGATGCCATGACATTAGTCTGTGATGATGCTGGAACACATACACAAAATAAAGCATAAAGTGCACAAGAAAAGCCACAGTTAATGCCAGACAGGATTTCTTCAACCAGTTACAGTTGTGGGGTTTTTTTACATCTTGAGTATTTGTCTCACAGGACATCAGATTATGTGGCCAGGTGAGAAGTTTCTGTCAGCCTTTGCTGGCATTCTCTGGAGCTGCTGCTTGGATGCTTGCATTTACACACATCAAGGCAATAGCAAATGGGATTTAGAAATACAATCAGCTTCCTTCGCTAAATATTAAGTAGACAGGCACCCAAAATATCCTGAGCTGTGCCTGGGACTTCCCATTGGTCTGCCTGTATGGAAAGCAAGCCAGCCTCCCGCACCAGCAGTTGCCTGTCAACAGGACAGGTACAGAGCCACACCATCCCTGGAGGGACAGGATCGTGCTGTGAGATCTGTGTGCATGCACAAGGTGTTCTGCCACAGAAACACCAGCTGCCACATCTGTCTGTCAGGACAGCTTTGCTTGGTTTAATCTTAAGTATCCCTTTCTAATCACACCCTCTGTCTCCTAGTTATGTCCCCTAAGTAGCTGTTCTCCCTGTTGGATGTTCACATGCTCTGGATAGACCAAGTTATTTGCAAACTGTCTCCCAGCCCAAATTGGCTTTTTGCACTTAGGGGGGACGTTCCCCTTAACTGGTAGCAAATACTCTGGCTGTGAATTTTTCAGAGCTCTCTGAAGTGTGAAGGCTTTTTTTTCTGGCCTGCATGCTCATGCCCTGCTTCTTGATGAGACACTCACTTATTCTCTTTGGAGGGAGGCTTGTTGTAATACAATATTCAGAGGGTCCCATAATGTATGCCATTTCATGTAAATGGCACTGAAATGCTAGGACCTTTGTTTGCTTCCAGGGTTTCCCAATGAGCATCATCAGAGCTGCAATACCAGGACACTTGACTGCTCTTTGATACTCCTGGATCAGTCATTTCCTTGTCTGGGGCAGTAACAGGCAGTAGATGCAATGAAATCCCTGTGTCCTCCGCAGCAAGAAACACATATTATCAAAGTGCTTGCCCCCTGCTTTTCATAACAGGGCATTTATAAGTGGTACCAAATCCTGCTTGCAGTGTCCAGGATCTCAGCTAAATTCATTTCTTGCTTTGGAGTGAAGTAAAGGTCACGGGTTTCTGATGAGGTTTTAACCCACTCAGGGAGTTTGACAGGTGGATTTGGGTTGTCATTTGGGAGGCTGTTATGCCTCTGCATGTGTAGCTGGTTGTGTCTGCGCATGCTGTCTGCAGGCAGAATCCCTGAGCAAGTCTGTGAGCTCCTAGGAGAATCTGCCATTTGGTTTGTGAGCACCTGCATGTATGCAAATCTGTGTACTTGTGTACATGGATTAGTGTCCATATCTGTAAACGTCGGTGTGCTTTGTATACTTGTGTATAAGTGTATGTCTGGGAGGGAGGGCAAAGAAATAAAGGCATCAACTTTCCTCCCTTAGTTAGGCAATAACGACAGTTTTGCTTTTCTAAGGAAGTTTGAATCCCAGCCGCCACAGCAGAAGCCAAGTGATTAGAGATGCCATCAGGATGCTAACTGATCATGTCTCTCCCTCTCTCTGTCTTTCTTCTCTAGAGCTGAAGTAGTAATAAATGGTTCTTCATCTCCAGCTGTTGTTGACAGAAGTAATGAAAGCATTAAGCACAACATTAAACCAGCCTCATCCAAATGGAGACACAACCAGACACTCTCTTTGAAGATCAGGTACTAGTAATTACCTATAGGACAAGAGACAGATTTGGTCCTCTCCAGTGCAAGCTGGCAAATTGCCTCTGTATATCATCTAAAGAAGTCAAGAAAGAAATAAAATGTTTATCTCCTGCTGAGCTAGACTTCATATCTGTAAGCAATCACTTGGAAATGAATTCCCAGCTCAACCAGCTGGCCTCACACTAACAAAGCGAGACGGGCTTGAGCTTCCATTTTTCCATGCCATGCAGGGACCGGGGCATGCTGTGGATCCGTGATGTCGAGTCACACACAAAAGATGGGAAATGTCTTGCCTTATGCTGTGACCTTTACTGGCTGAGAGTAGAGCAGCGATGAGGGGTTTACCGAGGGCTGTCTCCAGAGGGTGGGCAGGCAGGGGGAAGATGCGTACAATCAGCGTGCACTGCAATTGCTTTCATTTTCACACAGGGGGTTTCAGCTTTCAGCCATATGAGTATCTCCTGAAGGTCATCACTCAGCAGTGAGCATGGCCCATCAGCAGCTAGGCTGTGGAGCTTGGACAGGCAGGGGGTGTTTAACTGTCATAGGTCACGTAATGAGCCATCCCTACCGCTGACATAAGCTGCCTGTTTTCTTTCCTTTCTCCAGGAAGCACATCTTGAAGTTCCTGGATGCAGAGAAGGACATCTCAGTGCTGAAGGGGACCCTGAAGCCTGGGGATGTGATTCACTATGTCTTTGACAGAGACAGCACCATGAATGTCTCCCAGAACCTTTACGAGCTGCTGCCACGGACTTCTCCCCTGAAGGGCAAGCA